AGGACCATCATGTGATAATTTAAAATATTTGGTTTCCTGGTAAACAAGTTAATGGGTTTATGCTCAGTTGCACTGCACTTTCAAAAAGCAAAATGGCCCTAGGGCACACAAGTAAAATTTAAGCACTTTCATTGTTATTTTAAAATAAGTAAAATAAAACACGCTGTCTGATTTTCTGAACAATAGCTTGGCTCCCTGCCGTGGAAAAGTAACCTCAGCTGGGAATTAAAGCCACCCACCTTTGTCTTCAGGCTCCAGAGCCCACAAATAGCTTGCTCTTTCCGTGGTTCCACTTTTATTTTTATATTAAACTCTTCTCCATCTTGCTCTTTTTTTGCTTTCACACTTGCTCTTTTCTTCCACTCAGTAATCTTCTTTTCCCTTCTCTCCAAGAGGGTCACTGCTCTAACCCTTGAGCCATGGACATACATACAAAGGGAAATGGAAATGTCTGGGCTTGGATCAGGTCCTTCATTTCAAGGCGTGTGTTAAAGATTGCCACGTCCAACAGCTTCCCCGAGCCCCAGTGCCATTTTCTGCCTCAGTGTGACTTTGTTTGCACCCCTGTTGCTGTCCACAGCCTTTCTGGCTGTCCCAGACTTTCTTTGTAGACGCCGTCCTTGCCCGTTTGCCCGCGGTCAAACGTGAGAGCCTCAGGCTCGATGAAGACCCCTGCTCTACTGCAGCACAGCTAATAGCAACCAAACGCGCATGTAGGTTAAAGGCCTCCTTTGTCTCTCTTTATGCAAGTTTTTCATACTTTTGCAAGGCGTTAAATATTGCTTTGCAGATAAGAGCAGCAGCACGGTACCCCCAGGGCAGGGGAACGGGAAAGAGCTGTAATCATTTGCTGCAAGAGTTTGGTCTAGCAACTACCTTAAATTGCTGGCAACAGGTGGGTAGTTGGTTGTTTTCTGGCTAGAGCAAACACTTTGCAATCTGCTTTGAAATGCTCTGTATCTCCTGAACTGAGGGATGAAGAAATAGCGTGAGGAGTAGTGGTTCATACAAAAAACTTGGCATTAGATTTTCAGTTGACTTAATGCTATTGCTAGAGTTTGTCTTCTCTCCCAAGGCTGATAGTGCTTGAAGGTGAGATGGGAATAGAGAGGAGTGTGTATGCGTGCTAAAGCATTGCCTTTTGCTGTTTTATCCTCAAAGAGTTGCATTTTTAAGTGTATGGTCCTAAAATTCACATGTGCTAAGGTATGAAGTGAGCTTTCTTGGTCTGTCTCTGCCTTTGTGTTAGGACTCCGCAGGGCTGCTGAAGATGGAGTAGTTTGCTGCCAGTGTGTTCCCTTGCAGACTTTCAAATACATTCAACTCGGCTTTCTAATTTCTGGGGCAAATACTTGATAGGACTGGGTTGGCAGTTTTTATGGAGCGTTTACAGACTAAAAAGGCCTTTTCCTTCTCTTCCAGCTCTTTTCTGCTAATCCTTTGTTGTTTATAATTTTCCTCAATAAAGAAGGGGAAAAAAAAGTTCTTTGAACGGTTTTGTCGTAGAGGATGAGATCATCAGTGAAAAAAATAATAAAATAGAACAGCTTGTTCTTTGTTCCTCTGTGAGGTGCCACCATTCTCCTGTGATTTTAGCATCGTATCAGTGTTACACACACAGGTTTTGGAGTAGGTTCAAACCAGACTCAGATCAAGGAGAAAAAGCCTTCTCCAGAGTTGCTGTGTGCCTAATGCAGCACCATTCTGGGGGGGACCTGCTACTCACAGCTCTATCCCTTGGGATTCTTTGAGGGGATCCAGGCTTCTAGAAATTTGGAGAAATACCGGTCCATCATGTCCTGCCGTTCTTGCAGCCTGCGCAGACAAAAAGGGGAATTGTCTTTGTGCAGAGCCACAGGAGCATCAGAACTGTGCTGTGTGCAGTGAGGTGGCAGCAAATCCCGTCCCTCTTGCGCAGAGCATTGGCCCAAGAGGAGCTTTGGTGGCCGGGTGCCCAGCCCAGTGTAGTTTCAAACACTCCTCCTGTCTCCCATCCGTCTCTGTTGCCGCATCTCAGTATTTGCAGACTGGGCCTAAGAGGGTGCAGCTGGTTAATAAAACACGCGCTGCTCGGTTCTAAACTGCGCTCCCTGTCGCTAAACGTCTCCCATGTAGCGGCTCTGTAGCGGTGGAGTTTGAATGGGATGACAATTTTGTGCCTGCTTTCAGATGACGGGAGGTTAAATGGAAAAATCCCGGAGATCCGGAGTGAAATAAGCCATCCAAGTGCCTTTGGTGTTTGTCATCACAATAGATGTTCCCTTCAGCTCTTGCTTTGATATCAGCACATGAAGTGTCAGCCTTAATCTCCTGTACATTCTTATGTAAATACCTTTTTTTTCCTTTAAAAAAAAAAGCCTTAAACTGGTGATGTGTCTGTAACTTTAGGGGTTGTTGTGCAGCTTTAGCTTCACTGTGGGAGGATTTTAAATTTGGGGTGAAGCAAGTCTGTGGTTTGTAAAGTGCTCATTTCTGTAGGTAATTGAGGGTATAAAGTCTATCATGATGGAGAGCTGCAAGCCAAGACTTGAAGCCTCTGTTTGCTGGGAAAGTGGATTTCTTTGTCTAAACGAAGGTGGAGGAGAGCACGTGCAGCAGCCTGTGGTGTGTGGTCCATGTGGTGTCCACCCTTTTCTCTGCTCTCTTTCAAGGCTTTTTCAATAAACAAGTGCTGGTTTCATGCTCTTTTCCTTTCATTCAGGCCACATTTTCTTTTTTTTTCTTTTTTCCTTGGGAAATAACTTACAACGTGAAATGTTCTTTTTGTGACTTTGTCATAAAAATTAATGAGACTAGAAAAACTGTTTGTGGGCCTGGAAGAGAATCCTAGCGAATGGTATTCCTCTATACACAAAGCTCTTTCATTTTAATTAGCAAATGAACCAGGAGGAAGCAGTAGGCAGGTATTTCTTTGCAGGCTTAGGCGGGTATTTTGTCTAAGACATTCAAAAGCAGTGATTTGAGAGACCTCTGATTGGTTGATCTCTGTGCTGTATCTTCAAGTTGTCTTGGCCTGAATTTTTGGGGGATGAGGGAGATAGGGTGATTCATGCGTGAGCTAGACAAACCTAAGAGCTGCCAGTTTGCATTATGTCAATGTATGTAAGAAAATATTTAGATAGAATTTCCATTAAAAGTTCAAAAGCAGGGGGCTCGCACTGACCCCAGCTTTTAGAAGCTCTGGTGGGAAACCTGAATGAAATTTAACTCTGCTCAATGTGTTTTCGTTGGCTAACTCCGTGTTTTATTATCTCATGCAATGAGATCTTTCTTGGTTTGTCAGTTTTCTACTCAGGACAAAAAGTTCATGTGTGTAACGGCGCACATATTGAATTAAAGTGCGACTAAAGGCATGATGTAATGACCCCCTCTCCTTTTCCTTTCGTCAATATTTGCCTGCAGGGTCAATACATTGCAATATTGACTTCAAAGTATTCGATATTTTTTTACCTTCTGAGCGTGCTGGCGTCGAGCGTGTGTAATATTAAACCTGTTGGTTGAACTGTTGGTCTAGGACTTACTGTCTAAGTAGTTTCAGGCTTGGATGCCTAATCCATGTAGAGCAGCTTTCAAGGCATGTGATAATATCACAACACAGCTGTAGGCAGCTTTCCGAGGTGAACCATTTAATCTGCGGTCTTTTCTCCCAGCTTCCTAATGAGGGGTGGAATTTGTCCCTGGGTGTGCGATGGGCTTATTGTCCTCTCCCCCTGCTGCCATCATATTTACCCTCTGCAGGACCTTTCTGCAACCGCAGGTTATGTGGACAGACCTAAACTCCAGCGCTGCCTTCTTCCGTGTGCGTTTCTGCTGCCTTCACATCCGTGCTCTGTCAAGCATAGAAAAGCAGCACGAAAAGCAAGACAAAAATGCTTTATGTACTCAAAGTGCTGTGCAAACGTGACTTAATAAAGTTAAAATTGGTACAAATTCAAACACTGCGTGGTGACGGCAGCTCTTAACAATTTCTCCTTCAAAAACGTGACACTTGAGAGGAAAGCTTTGATAATCTTCTTTGCAAGGCGTATAAACAAACAGGATTGTCACCAGTGCGGGATCTTATTAAGTTACCTTTAAAAAAAATAGGGAAAATATTTATAGATACCAAGAAGTCAGTGAATTCCTCTAAAGAACCAAATGTTATAATTAGGAAGCCACTGCACTTAGAAGTATTCTACAAATAAGCACCTCAAATCTAGCCTAGTCCTTCCAGAGAAAATAAAGGTCAATGGGCTGCTTTGAGGATTAGCAAACCAGAATTTCTTGGACCAAGGTCCTAATGACTTCCAAAGCTGAGGATGAGCGCTACTTCCAAATCCAAATTATTGCCAAAACCTCATGATAAACCTCAGCAGTACTCCACTCTAGCCTAACTTGTGAATTAGGATACTTCTAGGCTGGCCTGTAAGGATAAAAAGCCTAAGCTGAGGGGAAGGCAGGATGGCAGTGGGAATATTCTGCTGGGGGAAAGCTGTGCATATCCTGATAGGAAGGTGCTGAAGCCTTCCCAGGTCCCCAGCAGCAATTTAGGCTCAACCAGGTTGAAGTGGAAACAACTGCAGCTCTGAGAACCCAAAAATGTGTGTGAGCTGCTGCTCCGTGCCTGGGAAATGGTGTCTGGCATTGCCTGGGTGTTTGTGAGGTGGGGTCCCACGTTTCTTGTTTGCTGCTGTCTGGCAGCAAAGGGATGAGGAGTGGGCTCACTATGAAGAGCTCCCAGTTAGAAAGACTTATCCGCATGGTTATTAAAGGTTTTCATGTATTCACTCTTGTGCTTGAGGATTTGCTCATATGTTGTAGCCACAGTGGCTGTGAATTCGAGAGTGTCCTGAGAGACCACAGTTTTCATCTCGGATGGGAGAGGTGGAAAGAAGTGTCATTTTTGTGAAGCCTAGGCATGAGGCAAAAAGGTTATGGTAGCACTGGGAGAGGTGTTGGAGTTAAACATGTCAGCAGGTCCTTTCTACCTGCAGCCTTCTGACTTCCTTGTGCCCTTGCAGGGAACTTCCAAGTGGGTGTTCACATCGCGGATGTGAGCTACTTTGTGCTGGAAGACACGGCGCTGGATAAAGTTGCGAGCGAAAGAGCAACGAGCGTCTATCTAGTGCAAAAGGTAAGGACAACTTTTCTTCTTTTCGACTGTGTCTTCCATTTACCATAGATTCATTTTAAAGGTTCATTTCCAGATGTCCACAACCAAAACCTGGCTATTATTGCAGCAAACCTCCAGAAATTGGAGCAAACACGAGAGCTGACATAGCTGCTGGCTACCTCAGAGCTTACAGAGAGAGCCTGAGGTGAAGCTGCAGTGCTCGACGCTGTGTTTTGGGCAGAGACCCGCCTGTGCCAGGGCTCTACAGCTCAGGATCAGCTCCATGTCAACGAGACCCTGCTGATCTGGAGCTAATTCAGGGCCCAGAGATGCACACCCCTACGTTTGCACTGTGCAAATAAATCTGATGGACCCGAGCTGCCTCGTTTGCTTTGCTGTTGGGAGCTTGAAACCTGCAGAGATGGTGGTGGAGGGTTTTGTCTTTGTCAGTAGTAGTAGCTCATCCCTCCCAGAAGTGGATTCATGGCAGAGTAGGGTGTAAAACATCCTGTGCAATCTCACATCTTAAGGTGCAGCGGTATTTCACAGACTTTTCTTTTATCTGGGTATCCCAGATACTGGAGAAAATATGTCTTTTTGTCATACAGATTTTAATGTGACAGAATGAAATGTTAAAGTCAAGTTTAAAGTTACACTTTAAAAATGAACAGGTTCAGGTTTAATGTTATTGGAAAGGAAACATCCAGGTTTCTGTCTGTGGCTGTCTCATTTTCAGTTGAACGTGCAGAAACATTTCCTAATTTATCAGATACTGCCAGCACGATGCCTGCAGGGAAGCCGGGAAGCTTGGCCGTCACCATCCTGTGTCATCCTGAAGCATCCACTGCATGAAGTGGAGCACCGAGTCAGTCTTATAGGAGCAGCTTAATCTCCCTCTCCCCACACTCCCATTCGTTTGGGCTGAAGTCCTTGTCTTCACAGCCCTTTCTGGGATCCCAGGGCATCTTATGTAGAATAAATAAACATCTCCTATGTGCTACTTAGGATTAGGTAGGAGTGATTCTTCCCCTCCCTTCCTGGATGTTCCCAGTGTTGCTATCCAGGGAGAGTCTTGTAATGATACTTGTTCCAGTGGCTTCCTGTGCTTTCTCCTCACTTTTCAGGTGATAAAATGATTTATTTTACACTACTGAAATAGAATTAGTGGCTTGATATCAAGCTGTTAACCTTTAGCAGCTGTTTCCTAGCTTTCCTTGTGTAGAAATAGCACTTCAGGGGGTCTCAGTGGGTCTGGTGGATTTTAGGTGTCTGTGGGTATGGGTTATGTGGAGTAACCGTGATGGCAATGCAGAAGTGCCCAAGCTGAGTCGGTGGTGGGGAGCCCAGCAGCGCACTGGGACCAAGGAGTGGCCACACTGGAAGATGCCAGCTACCAGTAACTTACTGGTGTTTTATTTTTAAAGGGAGAAGGAAGATTTTTATATAGAAAGGAAGCATGTTTCATTTATATCTAGTTGACAAGGTGTTACCCGTTGCCCGTAATCTTCAATTGCTCTTGTTTTACTCACACTTCTGCCCTGCAGAAAATGTATTTTAAGAGTGCAAACTGGGCTAGATGATGAAATGGTCAATATTTTAATTGCAGGAGATGAAAAGGAGGGAGGGGATGGGCAAAGGAAAGCAGCCAAGCTGTCTGAAACAAGATGGTAGCGTGAGTCTTGTAGAAAATATGCTTTCCTTTGAAGGAACTGTTTCCTAAGACAGCTGTGATTCTGCTACAGGTTAGCACCATGCTAATCCTCCCAAAGAAGTTAAATAAAGCCACATATTTAATTTTCCTGAGCCATGTATTCAGAAGGGGAGTTATTGTGTAATTGCTAGCGGTCTATTTAATAAAAGTCAAACATTTTTGAAATCAGAGTGTATCAGGTTTTAAGAAGCAAGAGAACCTAAACAGTTTCCTCTCTTTTGGCACATCTTCCAGTGTTATTTTAGGTGTGAAGCAGCTTGAGTGAGAGGTCAGCCATAAATCCCTATAATGTTTTATTGGTCCTGTTTTATACTGGAGATCAAAGATCGGAGCTGTAAGCCTATCTTCACATTGAGTCCAAGGGCTTCGAGACGTTCACTTTTGACACCAGCAGGTTGTCAGGGTGTTGATATTTTGATAATCTCAGGCTGAGTAACAAAGAGTTGCTCGAAATCTGAATTCATGGAAGTGTTGATACAAGCCTTGAGCAGAAATCTTGGCTCGCAAACAAATTGCCTATTTCCTTTGAGGATCTTTTGGTGTGTAAGCAAGAGGCTCGCTGAGCCCACCCCGTTTTTGGACCTCAGCGTCCTCCTCCCAGCTCTGCCGAGAGCAGCTGATGGAAACTCTCAGTGAACACAGTCCCTCCCCATCAGACCAGTGGTGAAAGAAGGGGGTCACCCCCAAATTCAGCGGTGATTGTAACCAACCCGAACCGTGCCTGGGCAGACAGCCCAAGCAGGATGGGGTTGTCTGATGGGAGCAGAACTGTCTGTGTGATTTTGTGAAAATAAGGGGTTGTTAACCAGAGTTTGTTCCCTTTTCCCTTTGGTTGCCCCATCAGTTGTCCCCTTCTAGGCCTTGAAAAGACGTGCTCTGAACCTGGCTGCTGAGTCAGTGCTGGCTGCAGCAGATATATCTGATTTTAAAGGGAGTGTTTTATTGTCCCAGTGCGCTCCTTCCCACTGCCCAGCTCCCTAGGAATGAGTCTGAGACGGGAAACCCGCATTTGGTTTCTGGAAGCATTTTATTAGCCAAAGAGGCAAAACAAACCAAAACCATGGGCTGTAAGCACTGTGGATATCAGCCTTTTACTCAAAGAAGTAGAAGTGCCTTTTCCAGGATCTCTTGGGCCCTGCTGGGCTTGTGGGGAGAAACAATGTCTTTTATTACCCTGATGGGATGAAAACCAGACAAGCCCTCACCCAAGCTTTTTTTCAACCCTGATTTCTATGATACCTTCATTAGAAAAGGTTTCCTGGGGGTTGTAGGTCCTTTTTTTTTCATTGCAGAAGTTTTTTCCCTAGTCGTGCTGGATCTCTCCAACCACGTTTCCAGATTTGGCTACATTTATACACCTCCCCATTCCAACTTTATGATCCCTGTGTATAAGCTCAGGTGGCTTTATTTCCACCTGCAGTAAAATCAAGCAGCGTGAAGTGATCCCCAGCATAGGCACATCCTTGGCAGTTTGGGAAGGAAACGGTGCTGGAGGTGATGTCCCTCGGCAGCGTTTCGGCCGGGCTGGTTTCTGTAGACGCTGCCATCTCTTGGCAGACAGTCACAGGAAGGGCAAAGCGTTTCAAAAGATGCTGGGCAACCTCTGGATTATTTGAGGTCGTGCTCAGCAGCTCTGATATTTTGCAAATCTGGGCATTAAATACACGCTTAGGGAAATCTCCTCTCATCCTGCGTCTGCTTCAGAAAGAGATGGAGGTAATCCCATTGCAAAAGTTCCTTCTGGGCAGCCTCCGGGGTAGCTCCCGAAACATCCCGCTCTCCAAGCGTGACACAATTGTGACATCTTTGTACATTAAATGCTGGCCTTGCAACTACTAAGAGCCCTTTCAGCCTGTGACTGTATCGTGTTAAGGGAAAAGGAAATGTGGATTTTTAGCTTCAACTTCTGTGCGCTGTAACTGCTGGTTTAGTCTCTGTGTAGAGCGAGAAGAGGAATCGCGATGTTAAAGCAGAGGGAGGCAGTTAGCCAGGACCGTTGTGACGATGAAAGGAGGTGTTTCTTCTTGTAATTCGGGAACGTAGATAAAATTGAAATACCTTCAGTGCAAGGTCACAGTGTCCTGTGTTATGTATGTATTTGCTGAGCCCAGGAAAAGATTGGTTGAATTCTTGCTCTCCTGGGAGGCTTCCTCCATAAGTTGGGTTTGTTACCTTGCCTAAAATTTCTCTTCTGTAAGACAAGGGGTAATGTGGGTTGATGCTTCCCTATTTAACAGTAGGTTTGCTACAGCTAATTGCTTCTTGTGGGTTTAGTGCTGTGATTATGATCCGAGTTAAAGCTTTGCTTGTGTTTCACATCATTGAAAGCCCTTCCATAGAATTATAGCTTCTTGATTCAGATATTAATCCTGCTCAAGTACACTTAAAACAAGCATCCTGTTGTTTCATTCGGGCTGTTCTTTCATGTACGCATTTTTCCAGCACACCGTTATTGCTTCAGGAGATGCGAAGGGAGAGAGAATGTGCTAAGGCACAAAAATATTCAATAAGTACAAACTGGTATCAGATAATCAATCACAGGGGAGGGGAGAGAGAGGAAAACGAGTAACTGCATTAATTGGGGTGGAAAAGGGCATGGGAGCTTTTATTCAATTACGACCACTTTGTTCACTGTGACCTGAACATCAGGGTCTCACGGGGGGCACGGGCGGTCTTAGGCAGGCAGGGATTTCCGATGGTCTCTAAAAGCTATTTTCTCTCCTTCCTGGTATGGGTTGGCACCGCTCATGCTAAATTTATAACCCTGTGGTGTGTGGGTCCTTGCAGGCAGCATGGCAGGGCTCACGTACAGGGTCTGTGAGTTATGGATGTGCCGGCATTGTTAATGCACTGTTCAGCGCTGCAATAACAGAGCTGGCAGCCTTTGTGTTGCGGGAAACAGCTTATCGTAATCTGTGCCCTTCCAGCTGAACCAGGCCTGCTGATTCATGTTGGAAGTGACTCCTCGATGGCCAGAGCCCGCACAGTTCACCTTTCATTAATATATGCACTGCAATTAGCACGGATTTATAGCCGCCGCCTGGTGCCAAACCACAAATGTGATTAAATATTTTAAGAGTCCTTCCCTCAAAGCAAAAGGTAAATATGAAGTGTTGAGGAGAAAATGAGACCTTTTTTTTCTTGCTGTTTTGAAGAG